GCGTCGTGTCTTATGACTCTCTGGTTTTGTTCTTTCTTCCCCCCCCGCCCCGGCAGATGATCGATGGAGAAATGTATCCACCCACGGTGAAGGACACTCAGGCAGAGATGATCTACCCTCCTCACGTTCCTGAGCACCTGCAGTTTTCTGTGGGGCAGGAGGTGTTTGGTTTGGTCCCAGGCCTGATGATGTACGCTACGATCTGGCTGAGGGAACACAACCGGGTCTGTGACGTCCTGAAACAGGAGCACCCAGAGTGGGATGATGAGCAGCTGTTCCAAACAACCAGACTTATATTGATAGGTGAGTGTCCCTTCTACTACCTGCAGCTCTGACCTTCTCTGGCTTGTGACACTTCTACTCAGCATCTGCTGGAGTAACTGTAGTGAGAGGGAAAGTTGTTCCTTAAGCTGGTGTGGAAGGGCATCCATCTGAGCCTTTGTGACCTGCCACTGAGGTGGCACTAGGATACAGCTTCCTCCAGCTATGGGAAAGGCAGAACTGAAGAAAACTGAGCTTAGTGATACTGAATTCTCTTATCTAAGGGAAAAATAACTGACAGCAGTGAAAAGGTTCCTTTCCCAGAGGGGAAAGCCTGTGAGGATAGATGATGTCAGACTTTCAGATCCTGTGGGGACTTTTCCCCTGGGGTTGGGTCAGTTCAGGTATGCTTAAAAAGTAGGGCTGTGATTAAGCCTGAAGTTGAGGAAGTTATGTAAAATGTAGTTCCACATACTTCTGTCTAATTGTGCGTGCAGTGGTATTTTGTCTTATGTCACTGGTAAGATACACTAAGTTTGACAAGAACTTGCCCAAGCTGACTGAAACAGTACACCAAGACAATGGTATTAAGCAGCTCAGAAGCTGGGTGTTGCTTTCAAGTACCAGCTTTCTTCATTTTCACCATTTCAGCATTGTATAACTGAGCACACTGTAGGTTTTGCTCTCTGCTGTCCTGTGGAACCTACAAGGAAGCATATCTTGGTGTGGGTGCAGGCTGTAGAAAATGCTTCTCTACCCGAGCCAAAAACTCTTGGGATCTTAAGTACTGTTCCACCCCTTACTCTTAGTCACATAAAATATATGAATGATTTACTCTAAGAGATTACAGAAGGTTGAAATGCTTGTTCTCCTGATCACTATAGCAGTATTATTTCTAGAACAGTATTTGCCCTCAGAGCAGAGTAGCCACCTAACATTTCTCAGGAAACCAGTAGCAGTGTTCTCTTCTGTTTCACTGACCAACAGGAGAAACAATCAAGATCGTTATCGAGGACTATGTGCAACACTTGAGTGGCTACCACTTCAAACTCAAGTTTGACCCTGAGCTGCTCTTCAACCAGAGGTTTCAATACCAGAACCGAATTGCAGCCGAATTCAACACTCTCTACCACTGGCACCCCCTTCTGCCTGACACTTTCCAGATACACGACCAGGAGTACACTTTCCAGCAGTTCCTCTACAACAACTCCATCATGCTGGAACATGGCCTTTCCCACATGGTGAAGTCTTTCTCCAAGCAAAGTGCTGGCAGGGTAGGTGCTTCCTCAGGTTGCTTAGTGAACCAACAGAGGTGCAAGCTGGGGGTGGGACAAGGAGGCAGAATAAAGCTATCCAAAACTAACAATGGCCCAACTTCTTCATCACACTTTTTGGGAGATCTAACTACTTTTAATCCTTGTTGCACAGGTTGCTGGTGGGAAGAACGTTCCTGCTGCAGTCCAGAAAGTTGCCAAGGCATCCATCGACCAAAGCAGACAAATGAGATACCAGTCCCTGAATGAGTACAGGAAACGCTTCATGTTGAAACCCTTCAGATCATTTGAAGAACTCACAGGTAACCATTTTCACCCTAACAAACAAGGGCCCTTTCCTTAAGGAGCCAGAGCCCTGCAGCGCTGTCACTGCACTAGAACAGGACAGCCTTGCCATGAAAACAGGGATTTTTTTTTCCACTTACGGTTTTTATTCACCAACAACTACAGGAGAGAAAGAAATGGCAGCTGAACTGGAAGAGCTTTATGGAGACATCGATGCCATGGAGCTGTACCCAGGCCTCCTCGTGGAAAAGCCGCGGCCGGGAGCCATCTTCGGAGAAACCATGGTGGAGATTGGAGCACCTTTCTCCCTGAAGGGACTGATGGGCAACGCGATCTGCTCCCCCGAGTACTGGAAGCCCAGCACCTTTGGTGGGAAAGTGGGCTTTGAAATAATCCATACTGCCTCCTTACAGAAGCTCATCTGCAACAACGTGAAAGGCTGCCCTTTCACTGCTTTCCACATCTTAAATCCCGAACCCACAGAGGCAACTATTAATGTTAGTACCTCAAAAACAGCAATGGAAGATATCAACCCCACACTGCTACTGAAAGAGCGATCTGCTGAGTTATAAAAACCCATCTATTTATTTATTTAACTATATTATTTATTCTATTTATGGTTTAAAGTGTTTAAAAACACTTGAAAAACAAACAGAAAAACCTTGAGCATCTTCATTGTGGGGGTTGCCTTAGATTCCTTACTGGGGTAAGGCTTCCATTTACAAAAGGGATTTTCTGTGTTTGAGCTCTACAGTGGTGAATCCCTTGTTTTAAAGTCTTCTGTAACAGAACTATGTATTCCAAAGTGGACAAAGGTTCCAACTTTTTTTAATGTTGTTTTAATACTTGACAAAGGGTTTGGGTGGGGTTTTTTGTCTTGTAACTTGATAGGTCACGCAACACTACAAAAAGCAACTTCTTAAACTTGAAAACAGGCCATTGAATTAACAGTACAAGAAAATTTGCCTTACTGTAAACTGCCATGAAAATGTTATGAATTTGGTACGAGCACTTCAAGAGTCACAAAAAGTACATATACTTGAGACTCAGTTATTTATGTCAAGTCAGAAAATGCGTTGCATTTATCCTTGGTACTACCTCTCCCTCGCTGCAAATAAGGCACTTTGTACAGTAACTTATATGTTTGTTTTTATGTGTAAACCTGCTTTCATGTGGCATTACACTTCTTTAATTTAATTATTTAAGAAAATAGAACTTCTTTTGGATCTTACTTGTTTTTTAAGCCACAGAAGTGTTATTTCTGTAAGAGGATGATAATAAGGTACTGAGTTTAGCAATAATTGATTCACAGGCTGCAGCAGGAGACTGCTTCAATTTGGATACAGATGTTTTACTGTGCAAGTTTGGGAAGGTCTTCAACTTAGTCCAAAGCATTGGTATTCTTTCCATAGCTGTAGTTCTCTGGTCTACTTGATAATATTAACTTTAATCTCTCCTTTTAAGGTCAGATGGGCAGTATAGCTTTAGCTAAGGGTGTGACTATAGTATAGCTTTGTGTACCCAAAACATGGAGATTATTGGGGAATAGTACAAATTGAGAAGCTGTGTAAACATGCACAGTAGAAATGAATACAGAGTAGATCTAGCAAAACCTCAAGGCACCACGCCTTGAAGGCAGCTGATGTCTATGTACACAACCTCTACTTGACTTATAGTTCTATTTATTGGGGGAGGAGGGATAATGGGTTTTTTAAACATAATTTATAAACAGGCATTTTAAGTAAGTGGCTTAAGCTTAAGTAGAACTGGCTAGTTAGCATAAAATCTAGACATATTTGTCCTGATCCAGCACTAAAAAAGCTAGTCTCATCTGGGCACATAAGAAGTTACACAGGATCTTGTACCAGCACTTCATATAAGGGTATCTTTTTTTAATTTCTAGAGAGGAAATGTAGAAGATGATCTGCCCATAAAAACAGCTGGGGAACTGTAGGTAAAAAGGAAAAGTCACTTCAGACTGGAATAGAGCAGCAACCTGGTTTTCTCTGCCCAAAATTCCTTGGCTACTTGTGGAAAAGGACTTGAGTTTTCTATTTCATCTGACTCTCAAACATTTCTAGAGGCTGGTGCATTGACCGAGCACGGCAGTAGTGTAGTTGGACTGGGACTTCTGCTTGTCCATTTGTTTAGACACTGATGACCTTGTGCTCTGTAAGTCTGGAATGGTTAGTATGAGGAGCTGAACCAAGATCTCCTGCAGCAACCACTACCAGTGACTGACTGGAGGTGGTCTTTGGTAGAAATGCTGTGGGAGAAAGAAGGGCATTTGTTTTCCTTCTTCTGTTTGAAGCACAAAGAAGGGAAAAACTTCACTAGCCTTATATTACAAGGTGGTCAGTACTGTATATGCTAGTAAGTGAAAACTGCTTGGATGCTTGTTAAACATGGAATTGTCATTCAGATCCATCTCTGGAAGCCACTTCTTCAGAGCAGCCTTCTGCCACTAACAAGGAAAAGTGTTTGGCTTAGAGTCAAAGGGAGACGAGTCTGGACAGATCTAGTTATTTTGGGCAGGTAAAGAGGAATTCCTCAGCCCATGTCCTTTGAGTAACAAGCTGCTTCAGAAAGGAATCATGTTCACTCTGCAGCCACATTTCAACAGTCACTTACCTGTGACCCAACCTGCTGGGTTTGGCTGGGTTCAAGTTGCTCATGATAAATGTGTATGTTTGAGGTTATTTATTAAAAGTTCTGTGAATTGTTTTTCACTCTATTTTTGTAGGACAAGAATGTTTTTAAAATGCAATTGTTTATATAAATAAATTGAAAACATTACTATAAGGACTCATTTGCTTGTGATTTCCCTCAGCAACTTCCCTCCTGTTGGCCACTCAAGTTTAGTTGGAGAATTCCAGGGAATGACTAACAGCATTGAATTCTCTCCTATCTCAGACACAAGCTGCCTGTAACTTAAATCATCCCATTTTGGTTATTTTTTACCCTCTGGTCCCCAGTGAGAAGGGATTTGGCTGCACCATCCCCAGCAAAGCCAGCTGCCCTTCCCCACAGCACAGAGGCCAGCGGTGCTGCCTCTGGAGTACCCAGGTGCTTCAGAGGGCAAGTACAAGATGGGAGTTGCAGCCCACCAAGCTGGTGTAACCAAGCTCCCTTCACCACTCTTGAGTGCAGAACAGTCTGTAGGTGTTTCTCCTCAAGCTCAGTGCACACCAGAAGGGGAAACTGCTTTGGGACACAAGGTCTTTGCACTCAAGCATGTTTTCAGCAGTGGCAGCTTATCCCTCTGAAGCTGTGACAGCCACTTTGTCACTGACCACCTTCTCTCTGCACAAGGACCCATTCTGATCACAGTTACTGACTGACTCTCTAAACAGTGATACAAGCTGGAAAGATGGGCAGTGGGGGTAGGACAAGAGCAGGGGTGTATTTGGTGAAACAGGCTAGGATTGCCTGAATTGGTGCGAAGTGTTCCTCTCCTACCAAGAGCACCTGAGGCCACCCAGTCTATTCCTTCCATTTTAACCTCTGGTCAGAAATGAGATGAAGCTGTGAAGGAGATGACCAAGGGGATCATGTACATGGTACTGCCTCAGTCAACTCCTACCACATGTGTCCTCTGACACCCTTCTGTGCTCAGCCCCCACTATCATCCCACAGTTGACTGTGTCCCATCCCAATATTGGTTCCCTGTCCTCTCACAGCCTCTTCCTAGTGACCAGCCCCATAGCTACAGTCCTTCACCCAAAGTCTCCTTCCTTCCAACCACCCAAAATCCTCTTTAGTACAAGGCTTATCCCAGTGACCCACAGATCTCTATTCCCAAAGACCCTCCAGCTTTGGGTGTATGACAGTCCTGCTTCTGCTCCCATATGTTCCCATTATACCCAGGCACCTAAAGACTTCTAGCCCCTCTCCTCAACTTAAAACTCAGTCCTCCATCACTTCAGTGATCATCTTCAGCCCCAAAAATGCAATGTCCTGACAACCCTTCCAAAAGCACCACTCCAGTTGCTCTCCTGGCCACACATGGAGGCCATGGGTGAACGGAGGCACATACAGACCATGGATGAGAAGTTTTTCTTTATTAACCAGTCAACTCATTTGCTCTACAAGTTAATTAATTTCTGGCATGTTTCTGTTTTGAGGGGAATTCAAGCAAGGGAGTGAGTGAAGCCAAGGCCTGGTTGCTTCCATGGGAGGAGGACAGGCTGGTGGACTGCCCTGGGATGGAGAGTTGCTGGGACAGGGAGGCGGTGGGGAGGTCACCTGCAGAGAAGGTGCTTCAGGTGACTGCTGCCCTAACCAGGGAGGGGCCTGGCTGGATGGATTCGGCGCACGACAGATGAGATAGCATGAGCTCCTCCTTCCCTCTGAGCAGGGGCATGTTCTGATGATACAAAAGGCAAGAATGCTCCTCCAGGAAACCTGCCCCATGAAATACATGCTTTCCAGCCTGGGCTGAGGTAACTGTTTCACCCAAGGCCATGTGGGAAAGGAGGGGGGCTCAACAATTAAGTCATACCCTTGGAGGGAAGTCCATCAAGGAGCAGGAGAGCTCTGTGCTTTGGAAGCAGGTCACCATCACCTTTACCACAGGCTTTTGCCACACGTCACTTGCTTGCCCACTGCTTAACAGGCCCTTATGAGTCGGAGCCTTGAGGACATCTCACCAGGTTCACTGCTCCTGATACGCTCCTGGAGCTGTGCTGACCTTTATGCTGGAGCACTAATGCTCCAGGGCAGCCACTTTACCCAGGGTTCAGGAGACATTTGCATCACAAGCAGCTTGTGCTTTGCTAGAAAACATCCCTTTGGCTTCGGGCATCAGTCCAGAAAAGCCAAGGGGTAGATTGACCTGCTGCAGGAAGGGCAGGGAGGAGAGAGGAAACCTGGGCAGAGGGGGATGGACACATCACTGGTCCCAGTTCCCAGCTACTGAAATAGGTGAACAGCTCTGGAAAAGCTTATTCCAAAGACATGCTCTTTCTTTTGGAAGACCAGAAAAGGAAAACCTGCAAGCTGGAAACATACACATGCCAGAAAGGAGCAGTCTGAGGCTTGTACTCTAACTATGGAAAAGGAGGTGAATGGAGAGATCCTAGGCAAGGGAAGAGCCATGCAAGGCAGAAATGCAGCAGCATCATATGTAAAAGTCCTCCATGGGCAGAGCTGAGAGCTCCTCTTCCTTTAATCTGGAGTTTTGGTTTGGAAATAACATAATACTGAGAGGCAACATGATTGGTTTAAAATGGTACCTTTTTTCCTTTAATACTTATTTTTTTTAAATTAGCATCAAACCTCCTGTGACTCCAGTGCTTAATTACTCTGTAAGCCCAGATATTTTCATAAATATTTGCAACAAGAGACTGATCACAACAAAAAAAACCCCTACACTTCCCCTCTGCCGTTCAGGACTGACACAAACAAGTCAAGAATATGAGAAGAAAACAGCACTAGCAGAAGTTCACAAGTTTTTCTTTCTGGGAGTTTCCTGGCTGAAAATCATGAGGCCACACTGAGAATCTCTGCAATCACTCACAGCCACACTAAGGCCTGAGAAACCAGTCAGAGGTGGTCTAAAGCTGATGAGATCTCACTGGTTTGCCACAGGGAGAGGGCAGGGTGCAAAGCAGGGTGCCGAGCCATTTGGCTACTGGG